AATTTGAAATTTGAAATTTGAAATTTGAAATTTGAAATTTGAAATTTGAAATTTGAAATTTGAAATTTGAAATTTGAAATTTGAAATTTGAAATTTGAAATTTGAAATTTGAAATTTGAAATTTGAAATTTGAAATTTGAAATTTGAAATTTGAAATTTGAAATTTGAAATTTGAAATTTGAAATTTGAAATTTGAAATTTGAAATTTGAAATTTGAAATTTGAAATTTGAAATTTGAAATTTGAAATTTGAAATTTGAAATTTGAAATTTGAAATTTGAAATTTGAAATTTGAAATTTGAAATTTGAAATTTGAAATTTGAAATTTGAAATTTGAAATTTGAAATTTGAAATTTGAAATTTGAAATTTGAAATTTGAAATTTGAAATTTGAAATTTGAAATTTGAAATTTGAAATTTGAAATTTGAAATTTGAAATTTGAAATTTGAAATTTGAAATTTGAAATTTGAAATTTGAAATTTGAAATTTGAAATTTGAAATTTGAAATTTGAAATTTGAAATTTGAAATTTGAATTTTGAATTTTGAAATTTGAAAACTTAAGCATTATTTATTAGCTAAAAATGTTATTGAAAAAAAATCAAATAAACTAAAAATGTTATTAAATATCATATAATTTCAATACAAATAAATAAGTATATAAAAAGTAAAAAATCCCCCGTCCCGTCCCGTCCCCCCAAAACCCGTCCTGCCCGTATATATAGTGGAACGGGATGGGACTTATTTTTGTCCCCCCAATCCCGGTCCCGGCCAAATCCCCCCAGCCCCGTCCCCCGTCCCGTCCCGTCCCCCTTCGTCCCGTCCCCCAGTCCCCGTTCCCGTCCCCTTGCCAGCACTACTGTCACCGATGAATGTGAATCCATCACTGGTCACCTCTACTTCCTTGGGAACGGCGCTGCCGTCCCCTCTCACATTAATTCTGGCCCAGTGTAGATGATTTTTTAGCGATGTCTCCTCCTCCGTGTCAATGTATCCTCCACAGAGATTTCCAATATCTTGGAAAAACTTTTTGGACCATAGATTCATGGGTAATGCTAGTAATCTGATGCAGACCCAGTCTCTCGTGATTTCCTCTGGCCAACATCTAGTGGTTGGCTTCCACCAATCCAGATCTAACTTCATCTTCTTCCAGGGCCCGTCAGAACATGCTCTGCCGCTTTTCTCGTCGGAAGTTCAAACAAAAAGTGCCCATCATTGATCGAAATACATTGACTTCTATTGCTGATTTCTAGGAGTTTACAAGCCCATCTCCTCACATCATTCAAACTGAGAGTTTCTTGTCCTTGCTTTTGGAATTTTCAGACGATGCATCTGCCCAGGATGTCGTTCTCTTTTTGTGATGTTTCCCCGATGATGTCGATGCTTTTGGTTGTGTTCTGCGTATTGGCCGTCTCCGCTGCCTTCATCATCCATCTGCTACATTTAATAGCTTGTTTGTATGATTTCCCCTATTGCACTTTCTCCTTTCTGTCTATCCCATGTGCTCTGGCTGATTCACAAGTGAAACCAGCTATTTTGTGTGATATATTCCCCCTGCCCCCTTTATTATTTGTTTCAGGTGTAATAATGATTGATCTGCTTATGCCCTGAGTGGCAATGAAACTGATGTATCTCCCCTTTTCATTGTATTTAAGAGTGCAATATAACTCAGCAAAGTGGTCCTTCATGCTCCACCTCTTAACTGCCCTCCCCTGTACTTTTGAAGCTTCAATAAATATGGCTACCAACCATCTCAGGACCTTAATGCTGATTTTGACTCTTCTCATCTGGTATTGGCTACGCTCCACCCATTCGAACCAAACTTCTGCGCCATTCTTAAATCTGGCAATCTCATAAGACTTGAAACCTGCGTTGTAATAGATTCTCTCGTTCCCCGATTGATGTGCTCCGGCTGGGTTGCCGGATGCACCCATCAGAACCCTAACTAAAAGTGCTTTGATTTAAGAACTGCCAGACCTTGGGTTTCATGCCTGGGAGCATTTAACTCAAACTAATTTGCTTATTCTTTTTACTTGCTATGTTTTAGATAGTTTTCCCGATTTGGTACTGTTAGTCCTTACATTTGTCAAGGCATGTGTGATCACTTTTGTTTCACTGTGTGCCAACTAAGTTTGAGATAGATTGCGCTATGTTAATCATGTTCTATTATACAACTCAATTACCTATTAGATTTTCTATTCTCGTGGACTATTCTTTGATTAATGACCTTAATTTTTTTCCCCCATTTTTGCAGGTTTTAATCATGAAAATGCTGAGCCATCCCAATATAGTTAATCTTATTGAGGTGATTGATGACCCAACAATAGATAACTTCTACATGGGTATTTCTTGCACATTCCTATTCCTATAAATCCTTTCTCATTAGATTTGTGGCTTGCTATGTATATTGAATCATATTTTGGTGAATAGAAAGAGGGAAATCCAAAATGCTAAGCTTTTCTTTCTTTTCTTGGTTTGAACAGTCCTTGAATATGTGGAAGGAAAATGGGTTTGTGAGGGTGCTGGTCCAGCAGGTGGTCTTGGAGAAAATAAGGCACGGGCATACTTGCATGACACAGTGTCCGGCTTGATGTATCTAAATTCTCATGTATAACCACATTCTTCTAGTAATTCTTTGGAAGAAACAATTTTTCGCTGTTGATCTGTCTCATGTTGCTGTATTTGTGGCATGACCTTTGTGCGCATTTTTTCCTAATGTAACTGATGTTAAAGACATCATGAATCACCAATTTTTTATAAGGGCATTCTTGAAGTCATACATTTTCAGATAACTCCACTTCTAGTTATGCCTTGGGTTATTGTGTTATCCTTGATTGACTGTCGAGCTATCTTCTAAAGTATTGTCCCACTTTAACTAAATACTTGGAATCAAATTACAGGATTGGTAAGCTATTCTTTTTTTCCATGCTCTATTTCAATGTGATTAAAGAATGAAATGTTAACCTTTACTCTCTCCATTCCATATTAAGTTAATTTCTGAGGTGTTTCACACCTTTTAAGAAAAGTAGATTAAGACATAAATTTAACCTAGTTTTCCATTTTTACCCTTATTAATTATTGTCAAATTTATGATTACAATAACAAAATATTAATTAATCACTAATTCCAATACTAACTAATGAAGGGTAAAATTGGAAGAACACTCTAAAAGTAGTCTTGAAAACTGAACAATTAAGTTAATTTGAAAAATGGAAAATGCCTCAAAATTTAACTTAATATGGAATGGAGGGAGTAATGTTTAGGTTGTTTGGGTTATAATAGAACAGGTGAAATTGTCAACTAATTTAATTTTTGAGGTGTTTCACACCCTTTAAGAAAAGTAGATTAAGACATAAATTTAACCTAGTTTTCCATTTTTACCCTTATTAATTATTGTCAAATTTATGATTACAATAACAAAATATTAATTAATCACTAATTCCAATACTAACTAATGAAGGGTAAAATTGGAAGAACACTCTAAAAGTAGTCTTGAAAACTGAACAATTAAGTTAATTTGAAAAATGGAAAATGCCTCAAAATTTAACTTAATATGGAATGGAGGGAGTAATGTTTAGGTTGTTTGGGTTATAATAGAACAGGTGAAATTGTCAACCAGCAGCTTGAACTAAGGAGAAATGCTCCAAAGGGTAATGGTTTCAGAATAAATAGTATGATCTGAATATATGCCTGGAAGTTTAACTAACATAAGAAGAGTAAAGTTGAGGTAAATCTGTGATCAAACCTTAGTGTGAGAGAGCGTAAATCCTCAAATATTTGACTGCTGCTAGGCTAAATGGAGTGACATGGTTAGCAGGGATTCATATAGCCGACGCCTGCTAAGTTGAAAATGAGGTGTTTTAGTAGTAGTAATTGTTTGGATTTTCAACTAGGATTAGTCTCCTCTCCTCTACAAGTGGCCTTTTGCATTAGAAACTTCTTATGTGAGCCTCCTTTCCTTCCTGTTTCCTTTTCTCTGGCAAGGTAGCTAGTTTGACCTGAATTATGATGATTTTTTTCAGTTGTCAAAGACTAACATGACATTGTTCATTTTAACAGTTGCTTGTTGAGCTAGTTGTAATCATGTGATAAGGTGCCTATGAGATTCATTGCAAAAGGAAGTCGCTTAACTTAAGGTATAAGGAATTCAAGGAACCAAGTGAAGGGTCACTTTTCCTGCATGATATGATTACCATGTTAACTGTCAACAACAGAGTTGAAACCGTTTGACACATGCATTTTCCTTAGATTACTTAAATTATGCATCAGTAACTTTAAGGTTTGCATACCGCTATATATCACTGATAGATTGCAGTAATGTGCTTTATGTAGTTTAACATCTGTGTTTTTCTGCTCTTGAACAGAGTATAATCCATGGGGATATTAAGCCAGACAATCTTATAGTTACTGCCTCTGGCAGAGTGAAGATTGGTGATTTCAGCGTCAGCCAAGCTTTTGAGGTATGACTTTTTATCAACAGTGATTTTCTTCAACTTTATTAATTTAAGAGAAAATGGTCCAAAACCCCTCCAACCTATATCTGAAATTCCAACTACACACTCTAACTTTACGGGTGTCCTATCACCCCTCTGGACTATTTAAAAATGAAATAAATAACTCCTGAAATGCAGAGTTTAACAGAGAGTGCATTCACTCTCTTTGAGAGAGTGAGCTGACTATTTTTTTTTTCTTTTTGATCATTTTTTCTCTTTCTTTTTTCATTGTTTTCTTTCTCTTTCTTATTATCTAAACTATTTTCCTGTTCTAAATTTTGCCATGGTCGGAGTTTGAAGATTTTCCGGCAACCTTTTTGGAATTCATCTCCTAATTAATTCTTAATCTTTGTAAAGAATTAATTTGTAATCTAAACCAAACCATCAAACTTTTCTTCTCTTGATAAGGTTTTGTGTCTTTACATAACAATGTTCTTTACTTTTTGAAGAAAGATACTTCTTTTTTACTTTTGAATATAAATTCAACTACTTTATATACTAAAGAGGGTTTAGATTAAATTTATTTGTTATAGAAGACTAAACTTTGTATTCAATTTGATTGACAAGACAACAAATATTTTTTGGGTTAAAACTTTGAGCAGGTGAAGAAAGTGAAAGAGTTAATGGTGAAGAGATGGAAGGTGATAAAGGCGAAAATCAATGATTAGATCTCTATTCAAAATCCGCCGCCATAGATTGAAGAAAAGGATGGAGGAGGCAGGGTTAAAGAAAAGGATGGAGGAGGCGGCAAGTCTACATTTCTCTACAACTACACTAGGTAATTAAATCTTCAACAAAAAAAATAATCTCCCAAGTTGGATTCAAATACCTCAATATTATTGTAAATCGAAACTTTCACAAAGAATTAAGGTTGAAAAATAATTGAGGAAGAAAGGATAAAGAAGAAGGAGAAAAAATAATTAAAAAAGATTAATTGATGAAAAACACGTGTCAAGTGCGTGTGTTTCACCACAAGACACATGAGTGGTTATAGCGTTTTAAGGGGTTATTTATTTCATTTTTAAATAGTTCAAGGGGTGATAGGACACCCGTAAAGTTGGAGTGTGTAGTTGAGATATCAGGTATAAGTTGGAGGGGTTTTAGACCATTTTCTCTTAATTAAAAAGAGAAGAAAATATGCTTTTCTTCAGAAATTCTTTTTTTTTGGGAGATTCATATGCAAGTGTTTGTTTGTGAGCATTTTTTTCTTTCCTTTGATTTTTACATATGAGTGTGGCTTTTGGCCTTTCAAATTCACGTGCTTCCTCGACTTGTACTCCAATAGAATATGTTAGTTATTATATTTCTGTAGTTCTGTCATATCTATTCTTCACTGGGGGATTTTTGGTGTTTTCCCTGCAATTAGCTGTGGATGACCATGATCTGACTCCTCTCCAACTTGTTATCCAAGCATTATCTGTGTGAGCTGTTAGATATATGCGAGACTATATTTATCTCATGGATCATTGGAGCCATTCAGCAACATTGTTTGCTTGGAAGTCTGAGTTGGGGTGCTTCAACCTGCCTGCTTTCTCCGTGTTCTTTTGATATATACTTTTGAAAGAGCTTGCCCACAGTTATTACTTGGAGAAAAGCTACATTTTCCTTCTGTGGGTGTTCTTATGGCCTTGGAAGGGTCTGAATGCTGGGATCTCCCTCGGGGAAGGGGAAAGCATGCTGCCAGCCCCTCCAGTACCAAAATCCATCCGAGGACTGTTTTTGTCCTGGAGCTGACTCTGTGATTTGCAGAATAGGTGGTTATTGAGAAGGATGGTCATCCTCTAGTAGTTATTGCAGGAGGGAGTGGTTATCCAGGTTCAGTAGTAGGAAAGAAATATCTAATCCTCCTTTTCCTTTCAAGAGACGGCAGGTTTGAATGAAGCCTAAATGCATCCTGTATTGCCATCATGCCTAAAAAGGGAGGGGTAGCGTGCTCAAGGACTATAGGCCTATTAGCATGGTAGGACCTTAGGAAGCATCTATAAGATAATTTCTAAAGTGCTTTCTAACTGACGAAAGAACGTGTTGGATTCTGATAGTATACTTCCCATAATGCATTTGTACAAGGCAGACAAATTTTGAATGGGGCTTTGTGGCAAATGAGGTGGTTAATTCTAAAAGGAAAAAGGGAGAGCCAGGAATTTTATGCAAGTTGGACCTTGAGAAGGCATATGATCGCGTGAATTCGGTATTTTTGGACTACATCATGATGTGAGGAGTGGGGGGTTAGGGTACAAGTGGGTCAGTATCTCTACAGTTAAATTCTCAGTCATGGTAAATGGTTTTGTGGGTTCTTCGCCAACTCAAAGGATCTGAGACAACTTTAGCAGGAGGCTTTTGGAGGGGCTTTTCTGTTTCTACCGGGCAACAAAGCATTATCAGGCTCAACCATCTTCTATTTGAGAACATGCAAATGTGTCTCAACTGATGGCAGCCTTTAGCCTTTGTGTACTTTATGAATATTTTGCATATCTGTTGCATTTGAAGGCCCTAATAGGAGAAGAATCTCTTGATGCTGTTATATACATCCTCTAGTTTAAACTTTTGAGCTCTTAGATTTAGAATAATTGGGTTAATTTAAGTTATGTTTGCCATTATCTTAAGTTATGTTCTTCTTTCTCTTTCCGTTAATGGCTACTTTGTTTGTAGGATGATGATGATTCACTTAGGCGGTCTCCAGGCACTCCTGTTTTTACTGCTCCTGAGTGCTGCTTAGGTTAGAATCTCGGGGGTCCTCCAATATTGACATTTATATAAAAAAATTACTTACTGAGGTGGTTTCTTATTATTACTAATATTTTTGGTTGAGAAAGGTAACAATATACTGAATTGGTTTCTTTGTATTAATAGGACTAACATATCATGGAAAAGCTGCTGATACATGGGGAGTGGGTGTCACCCTTGACTATATGGTGTTGGGAAAATACCCATTTCTAGGAGACACACTCCAGGATACATATGACAAGGTAAGGATCAACTCTTGTTGGTGATGTATATATAATAATATCGCTAAGCCCTTAGTTTTCCAGTTCTTTAACAACCTTTGCATTCTATATTCCCAGATAGTAAATAACCCCAACTCTCTCCCTGACGTTATGGATCCTCTGCTGAAGAATTTGCTCGAGGGCCTTCTCTGTAAAGGTTGGTCTATTTGCCTATTGTATATGATTTTGAATTTCTGGGAATATACTTTTCTTAATTTTGTCATTTCTGTTGCTCCTGGTTATCCTAAAAAGTAGTGTGTCATGCAGATCCGGTACAAAGGATGAATCTCCAGAGTGTTTGTGAACATGAATGGGTTGTTGGTGATGAAGGTCCCATCCCTCGGCATTTATGTTGGTGCCAGCGGCAAAAAATGCTCAAGGAAGTATCAGATAGGAATGCAGAGGATACTTTCACTTGATAACTCTTGAACAGAAAGATGTTCTGTGAGTGATGGAATGGTAGCTAGTATAGAGTTATACAAGCAAAATAACATAGGATAGTAGAGAATGAAAGAATGAATGGTTGAGTAAATTCTGAGCTCGAATAATCTTTTCAATCAAATCCCATATCATGGAATCAGATATTTTCCCATTAACTAAATTTTGGAATATAAATCAGTCTTAGCAAGCACTCTATTTATTTGAAAACTAAATAGATTACTAGAAAAATTTATTTGGAGCATAAGACTTTATGTGAGATTCTTTCAACAATGTAATTATTTTGAATATTAAGGAGTCAGTTTCGAATCTTTATATTGGATTGGATTAAAAGTAAGAAAAGATGGTTGATTTCGTTGAATCAACTGTGGAATATGCTCTTGCTCACGACTCTACTATTTTCATTTTTCGTATTAAAATTTGTATACTGAAAGGCATAATATGAAGGATTTTTTAGATGCATATATATAATTAAAATGTGTATAAATTATATTTTTTTTAAATATGTGATGCACAAGATAAAAAGGTAAAATAAGCCATAGTAATGAATGCCATTATAATAGGTAAAGATAATTAATCCAAAATTCACTAACCCAGTTTTTCCTTTTTTAACCCCCCTGTGACTATTGAGTCAATAGGTGTCTTAGTTAATTGACTATCTAAATTTTTATTTTGTTAAAAAGAATTTGATTTCTTACTTTAAATTTTTCTCCCCATTTCTTCTTCCATACCCCCATATAATTATTAAAATAAATAAATATTTTTTTTTAGAAAAAGAGTCTAAAGGAATTATCTTACCTATTCAAAAGGTTGATTTGAGTATTATTCTCCATCGTTAAGGAGTCGTTTGGTAGGTGTATAAGAATAATGTCGAATAAAATATATTAGTAATGCTAGTATAGGTTATGATAGAGATTATTTCTTATGCATTAGTTGGTTTGGTGTATGTTTATTTCTTATGCATTAGTTGGTTTGGTGTATTAAACATAACATGTACTGGATAAAAAAAATTTAAAAGTATTTATTTACACCTCCACAAATAACTGATTGAAAGTATGTGAAAAAATGTTTTTCGTGACAATTATATCTTTAGCCATGCTAATGTGTGCATTAAAGACTCTTGCATTGTATTTATTAGGGGTGTACATGACCGGATTGGTTCGAGTTTTTCAAATATCAAATCAAATCATTTGTGTCAATTTTTTAAATTTATAAACCAAACCAAACTAATAAAACTCAGGTTTTTCAACATCGGATTTTTTCAATTTGATTCGGGTTTTTCAAATACCAAACCAAACCATTTGTGTCGAATTACTAAATTCTTAAATCAAACTAAACTAATAATAAACCTCGAATTTTTCGGTAAAATATTCACACAAACATACAATTAACTTGTGCTCCAAATATTTCTTTAGTTCAACCAAAATACAACTACCTAAGGTGTTTTTAAGAAAATAACACAAAATAACAGATGAGTGATGATACTAAAATATTCAATAAAAAATAATAATGAAATCGCAAAAATAAATATTGCAAATTAATAAGTGATAATGAAAATTATCAAAATTTTAAAAATACTAAATCATGCTAAAATAAGTCTAATAAGTATTAATTACATGATTAAACATTAAAAAAAAAAAATTAACACAAGTATAGTCGATTTTTTTTTTCAATGCCAAACCAAATCATTAATCGAGTTTTTGATTCGATTTGCGGTTTGATTCAATTTTCGATTTGATTTTGTACACGCCAAACTTATACCTGGATTTTCCATTGACTACACATAAAATAATATCAAATAGAGTGTATAATTAAATCAAGATACACATATTAAAAAAATATACGAAGCAAGATATAAAAAATAAAAAGTAATAATTAATACATACATTATTTTTCTAATGCATTATGCCAAACGATCCTAGGATTCGAAGGAATTAAGTTCAATTTACGAAGATGTAAAGAAGGAATGGAAATATAGTTAGTAGGAAATTCATGCGTAAATGATAGGAACTAGATGAGGTACTTCTAAAATGACAAACTAATTGTTAGATTAGTTAGTGTTTGATTGGTTAGTATTTGAAAAGAGGCATAATATAAGTGTTTATTTAATTTAAAATTAAAAAGGTTTTCAAATTCAAATAAATAATTATTAATAATACACAAAAGTTTGTTCTTAAAGAAAATTCTAGTTATTTTTTTTAAATTCGAATCTCATTGACTTTTAAAATCGTGGAGTGATTCTGCTACAATCCCTGCAGACCATCAGTTCAATGATACTATTATTCATGTTATTTCTTACTTTTTTGGATTTCAATTTACTATAGTATTTGTTATTTCTTTTTCTTCAGTTTTCATATTAATTGTTATTGCTATCATTATTTTTACTGTATTTTTATTTTTTTTGCTACATATTTGATATATTTTACTTGAATCGATAGTCTATTGAAAACATCTATATGTATCTTTATAAGGTAGGAATAGGATTGTCACCTTTATCTTCTCCAGATTTCTCTTATGCGATTTTACTATGTATGTTATCATTATTGTTGGCATAAGTAAATATTAAGAGGTTTTTTGAAAATATACTAAGGGCTTGTTTGGAAAGCCAACCTAGTAATTGGATTTGGTGTAATTGGGTGTAATTACACTGTTTGTCCTGTTTGGTTGGACATGTAATTGGTGTAATTGGCAGCCGGCAGGGGATAATTACACTCTTCAATTCACAGGGAGGGGTTGTGAATTACTGTAATTACATGATGTAATTACCACCTGATTACTTTTTAATTTCTTCTTTTTATTGTTTTATTTTATTTTTTTATTTCTATTATTTTAAGTTCCTTTTTTTTATTAATCTAAAAATTTCTAAAAGTTTATTTTTTATTTTATATTATTATATTTCATTCTCTTCTCATTCTCAACCTTACTTCACGTGGTTCTATGCAATTTTTTCGTATTATCTAATTATTTATGTCATGCTTATTTCTCTCATTAGCATAATTTTATTAGTATTCTAATTTTTAAATTAAAATATCATTTATTGTTAAGTAAGGTTATAGACTTGCGTTTTTTTTTAAAAAATAATCATATTTATGTATGCTATGTTGAAATTTGCGATAAGAGTATTATGTTAAATTTTTTGTTTTGAATTTATAACTTATGTTATATATTCAGTTTCATTTGTTTTAGTAATATTGAATTCATTGTCAAACATTTTAATAATTTATGACATTTTATTTATAGATTAATCTTTTTATCAAACATGCATTTCACGATGTTCGTAGAAATTTCATACTTTTAGTTTTTATGATCAATTCAATTGAAATATATTAATTTGAAAATATATAAAACAATTATTTTTTCATAATATTAGTTAAGAACATATGTTTATTAATTAATATATATCTTAAATATTTAATTTAATATCATTTATAAAGTTTCTTATTTGTCTAGTATAAATTTTAAATAATTAGTTTTTATTTTTAAAATTTTGATATAATTTTATGATTGCAATTGTGCATCCAAAATCCAAATAGAACATGGGTAATTAAATCGAGGCAAATAAATAGATCAATGTAATTACTAAATTATATAATTACTAGGCTGATAATTACTATCCTAGTAATTACACCAATTCCAATTACCAGATGACTTTCTAAACACACCTAAGAGAAAATGACTAGTTGCCATCAAAAGTAGACCACTCAATTCATATTTGGCCCTTAGAGTATCTGTTAAGTGATATTGTTTGCCTGCCCTTTACTAGTGGGGCCTTTATTATTATATTTATATATATTTAGAAATAAAGGAGTAAGTAGCTGACGTTACTATCAATTCATATTTGACGGAAAGTTGTTGTTTGGAAAAAAATTGTTTCTCGAAATTCGATCTTATCCTAAGTTACAAGAGATGATCCAATAAGGGAAAATAACTTATTGGTCCAATTGTGTGCACCAAGCAAATTAATGTCAAACATAAATTGTGCATATAAATTTTTATTTTTTGTCATTTAATTAAATACTATGTATTTAACTATTTACATATTCATAATGCATAATATAAAGGCAAGTAAATTTTGTTTTAGTATAATTACTTGCAAATCATATAAGAGAAATATATTATATTAAATAAATTTTTTTGCGACGAAGTTATCAAGAAAATATTTAGAAAATTTTAAGTATGAGATTCTCCATTTGAAAAATCACCGTTCAATTAACTTGATTCGAATCAGATGCTCGACTATCTTTAATGTGGAGTCATTACTTTCCAAAATCGGATGCTCAATCAATATATTTGTATGTTATTACTAGTTCCCAATATGAAAATATTCATCTAGATTGCGCAAGTGGTAAAAATGGGTACTTCATGAGCATTCATAGTTTCCATGTTATACGTTTTATCATTACATGTATCTTTACTTGAACTAATTGTAAGTAGGACATGAACTTGATTGTATATTGAAAAAAAAAAGAATAATATTTAAAATTAAGTTAAAAACAATTATTTAAGAATTAAAATAGAATTAGAGCATGTTCATTTTTAAAAATATCAAAATCCTGTGAACAATTTTTTTTATTTGAAAAGTGACTATCTAAAATCAGATTATTATTTTTTAGTATGTCCAAGCGGGCCCTGACTATCTTTTTTGTGTAAATGTAGAATCCGGATGACTATTTCCCAATCTAACCACCTTTTTTAGTGCTCTTCCCAATATGTAATTGATGCCACTTGAAGTCCACTCTTTTAAGATGAATATTTTAAAATTAAATTTTGAGTATTCAAATATCATATAAAGCTTATTATTAATTTTTATATATATATATATATATATATATAT